CTAATCACTTACCTATCATACTTTAAATTCAAAGATTTACTTCTTTCAATTCCTAAAAAGTTTCTCTTTTTCTCAACATCCTATATAAATTATATAGAAAATTAATTAATGGCCTTTATTCATATCCAATGTTATGAGAATCGGATCAAACATTAAACCAATCAAGGCACTGGTTTGTGGTTCAATGGTCTGACAGGGGTCAGACTGTTTGAAATTAATTCAATATAATTAATAAATTTTAAATATTATATATTAAAATTATAATTAAAACTCACAGAAAATTACTGTTGTTAAAAATAAAATTTAAAAAATACAAAGATGAATAAAAATTTATAATTTAAAATACAAAAACTATTAAAATTGCATGTAATAATACTAGTAAATAGTAATACATACAATTTTAATTATAAAAAAAATCTAGCAACTTTTGAATGTTGCAGGTTGTTGGGAGTTGAGACTTAATGCATAAGTGCTCATTTGAATTTTAGTTTGGTATAATAAATTATGAAAATAATTAATTGAGTGGTAGATTTTAATCATAATTGATTATGTTATAACACAATATGTTTAGATACTATTTTTTTAAAATTAATTTAACAAAATTGAAGATGTTTGAATAATTTAATCAGAATCATTTTAACTATATAAATTACTATATAATTTAATTTTTAAATATCAAATATTAATTTTTTGAGGATATAAAGTTTGAATTTTATTAAAAAAAAATTAAGAGAAGAGAGTTTGATTTTATTTTTATTTAATGTTGTGCCTTTTTTATAATTTTTTTCTTAGGCTTTTCTTTGTAATTGTTTCCCAACATTTTTGAGTAATTTTTTTGTAAAAAACTGATTATGAGAGCTTACGGAAAAACGCACGTCTTAACTCATAATCAATTTTTGATTTTTTTTGACTTTGAGTAATTTGGATCAAAAAATCAATTTTGAGATAAAAAATTGATTATTTCTCTTATCTAAACACACACTAAGTGTGGGTGTATTGGAAAGAGTGTGTCAGAAAATGATGCATGATTAACTTTTTTATTTTGATTTGAAACTTTCTTTCTTCTCTCTCTCTCTCCCCCCATTCTCTCTCTCTCTCGCCAAATACACAAGTGCTGTCACATTAACTGCTTTTCATTTGCAGAACCCATTTTAGAGAGAGTAGGCAAGGTGAGGAGAAAACCAAAAAATGCTTAGAGACTCTAAAATTTGATGATAATGAAAGGGCGTAAAGCCTGACGTCAGCAGCTTTGAAATTTCAAAGTAAAAGTCTGATGCATTTTTCTTCTTTTTATGTTTTATGCTCTTCTTTTCTCTTCAATATTTTCCTTTGTTTTTCTTTTTCTACAACTTCTTCCCCTTTTGCTAGAGTTCTCCATTTTTTGGGGGCATGGTAGTCTTTTTTTTTTGGCCATTTTCTCTAGCTTAGTAGAACCAACTAATCCACTAGTTTTTCTGGTTTTTTCTCGATTCATAACCGGTCTAGCCAGTTTTGTCTCGGTTCACATTTTGAACAGTTCAGATAATGTTCGGGATTGGACATATGGCCGGTTCCCAGTCCAACCGGTTGAACTAGCCAGACTAGTTCTAATAACACTGCTCATGTCACAGAAATTCCCTTCCAGACTTAAATCAACCATAATTAACTATAATGATTTTAAAGTTTAAGAACCAAGATTTATACCCAAAAAATTCTCCATAGCCATAGCTAACTATTCAATTAAAATATAATTTTCTCTTAGACTTTTTATCAATACTCAGTGTGCATATCATTTTTAACCACCAAATAACTCTCTTTAACACATTCATATCTATTACTCAAAAATTTCCCAACAACCATTCAACTCCTTTGAATTACTTAGTTACACACTAGCTCCATGTTCATCAAATTTTTTGCAATACTCAAATTATACCACAAAAAATAGTACCCAAAGTGACTATAATTCTCACTAGAATTAATAAAATTTTAGAAAATTTCCAAATCAAGCAAAACTTATTCTAATAGGTATTTTGTCTAGCACCTTTTGTGCATTGATTCTTAAATTCAAACCAGACTCTTTCTTTTATTCCAACTTCCAAAATTTTACAATAAAGAAACTTGGACCATTCAGCCTCCCAAATATGTATTCCTTAACCATAAAATCAATCTCAAACACAAAGAAATCCCAATTCCTATCTCTGTATTTCATAAAGTTGAAGGAAAAGAAAAGAGAAATTCCAAAACTTAAACTAACAACACACATATACAGCAACTATATAGGAGGAAGGATTGAAGCTTCTCACCTTAAATTCACCAAAGACGGAAATGAGAAGGAGAGAAGAGGAGCTCACAATGTTGAACAGGGGAGGACAAAATTCTGACACAGCTGCAACGGAGAAGGAAAAGAAGAGGCCGACAGCAACCTCAACAGCAGCACCACAAAACTCCTCCGGCGACTTAGCTCCTCACGCAGCCTATGCTGCATATGCAAATGGGGAAGATAGAATAGAGACGGGGAGGATGACGGCAGAAAGCTTGAGCAACTGTACACCAAAGAAGCTTTAGCAACAACATAAAATTGCAACATAAAATCTTAATTAAACAGCCATAGAGGATCCAAACACAGCAACCATAGAAAAAATGAAGATCAAAATATCAAAGATAACTCATTAGTTGCAGCAAGTCGCTCCAAATTAAAGACGACAAATGAAAAGTATTTAAAGAATTTCACCACGCACAAAAAAAATGTATTCAAAGAAGAAAAGGTCCAGAATTCAAGCCACCGTCACCTCATCTCTCATGCAATCCACAAGGCTAGAATTAGTAGAATAGTCAAGCATTCATCCGAAAGCACAATTCCAGAAAGTTTTCAAAAATTATCGTTATAGATACTTCCTTAATCGAAGTAAATTGAGGAATAAAATACCAGAAGACCGTCAATCAATGTCAACAGGCTCTAAATTTATAATGATTGCCCCTAGCTCAGCATCATTGACTCCAGAACTACCCATAGCTCCACCACCCGCCAAAAAAAAAAAAAAACTACTTCAAAGAACATTATTTGGTATATATGGGTAACTAATAATATTGAACATGAAATGCTTATCTCTTACACTCAAGCAATGTTTTAAAATTTAAATCAGACATCAAATTGAAAAGAGTAATGAGTTGTCATTTTTATAGTTCAATCAGTTAGACCGACAATCAAACTAGTGATATAAAAATTAAATAAAAATAATATTTATATACATAAATATATAAATAAAACATTAATTTGTTGATGGTGCTTGAGATCTTGATGTCAAAGACTAGACACTTGGACCGCTGGAACTAAAGGCAGAGGCATGTCAATACAAGCTCGTAATCTCAAAGCAAAATGCTAGATCTAGAGGCATGCTGTCATGTCATGACTCATGAACTTTCGATCTTGATGCCAAAAGTTAAATTACTAGAGCTTGAAGCAGAGGCTCAAGGGTAGGTTAAAGATTGAGCTTGGGCTATGGACAATAAATCAGAAATTACAAAAGAAAAGACAGAAGATAACTAGAGATTAGAGAAGAAATTGCAAATTTAAGTGACTTAGTTTAACTTTTTTCTCTTTTTTTGGCTTTAAATTGGGTTGACCTACTCTGATTTTCAAGTCAACTTTAATTCTCTAAAAATCATCTAAGTCAAACTAATTCAAATATTAAATTGATTCATCTAGTTGGATTGATATGTTTTTATCAGCGGGTGATAATCGAACTGTCTGGTATAGTTTGGTTTTCAAAACACAATACTTGATTATCTAACAAGTTAAATGATCGAATATTTAAAAAGATAACAAGGCAAATAAGAAAATCAGGGACTGGAAGGAAACTTACTTTTCATTGAGATTAGAATCATAGGATGGGTTTGAATTGTTCACAAAGCCCAAGATAGAATGAGACTTCAATTTTTTTATAGTCATTCCACTAAATTAAATGATTATTAACATATCACAGAAGACATTTATTGAGCAAGTGAATTTATATTACTTTGATCCAAATCTCATTTATTTACTGTAATTAATGTGTAACATAAATTTAAAAAAAATATTAATTACATGTTAAAAAATTAAAAGTGTCTTATATTTTTGAATATATAACCTAAAAAAATGCCTATATATTTTTTTTAAAGGAGGGTACATGAAAGACCTCAAATTTTAAAATTTTAATAAAATATATAAGGACCAATTTAGACTTCAAATCTTACATATATTGTCCCTTCTAAAAATTTGAGATTTGATGCTTTCTAAATATCATATGATCAATGTTTTAAAAACTAATCTGTACAATGAATTAGAGAAGTCAGGGAATTATGATTCTCATGGTTTGATTGGTGGTTGAATTATTAACATAATAATTAAATAAAAAATTATATTTAAATAAAAAAGGGTCAAAAATAGTCCAATTGTTTTGAGTCCCAATTTTTTTTTTTTTTTGGGTTTTCGAGAACCATCTGAATTAAATTGGACTAACTCAAGTAAATTGTTAAAACAGACCAAATGATTGAACCAAATTACTTTGCCAACCAAGTTAATTTGGGTATTAAAACATTGCATATGACAAAAGTTTTAACAACCATTCAATTAAATTCAACGGTTATTATCATATCAGGCGCATCTATCCAAATCCCATTTATTTGCTGCACTTAATTACGTGAAACGCGTAAGGTTGAAACTTGAAACACGTCCACAATGCGGTCCACTTGGTTGTTAAAAATAATTTCTGTTTCAATTTTTATGCGGTTTTTTCAGACTTTTGTTGGTTTCACATTTTAAGAAAAATATTTGTTTATCTAAATATAAGTTGAATGGAATTGATAATATCCAAAATTATTATTATTATTATTATTGATGCTAAAAGTAGAGTTTTTTTTTTTTTTGTGTGTGTCAGAAAAGTAGGGTTAGATAAATTGTTCCCCCTCTACGATGTAAGTCAATGGACGTTCGTTGGCAAGTTGAGCCCTGCAGCCAGCGGCGTCCTCTGTTTCTGTACGAAACTACCATTTCAGCTGCAATTTGCAAATAACTTAACACTCTATCCATAAAATTAATCACTCCCAACATACTTCGACTCTAATTCCTTCACGATCATGTCTATTATTTCTTTGATTCTTCTTTCGTCTTTCTTTTCACATCTGCTCACCCTCACCGCCCAGAAGCCTTTCGTATATTACAAGTGCTTCAATAACCAAGCAAACTATACACATACAAGTGCCTACCACACCAACCTCAATATCCTTCTCTCTAACTTCACTTCCGTCACAAAAGTCGACTATGGCTTCTTCACTTCCTCTTATGGCCAGGACCCTGACATGGCTCTCGCAGTTGGACTCTGCAGGGGAGATGTGAAGCCTGAAACTTGCCGTGGTTGCATCAGCAACGCCACAATCCTTCTCCCAAAGCTGTGTCCAAATCAAAAGGAGGCATTTGGATACTATGACTTGTGCATTTTTCGATACTCAAATCCTTCCTTGTCTGAGACAGACCAATACCCTGACTTTTACTACGCCTTTCGCAACCCAGAAATGGTAACAGCAGATCAAAACAAGTACAAAGATGCGCTTGATCGTCTAATGCTAAATCTAAAAAGCATAGCTGCAGCTGGTGATTCTCATCGTAAGTTGGCTGTGGGAAATGCAACAGTTGATAAGTCTCGAACTGTTGTTTATGGTCTTGCCCAGTGCATGCCTGATTTGTCTAACGAGGATTGCGACGATGGCTTACTAAAGGCTATCTCGGATATATCAGTATGTTGTCAGGACAAGGTTGGCGGTAGAGTTATCAAATTCAGCTGCAATATTAGATTTGATCATTTCCTTTTCTATGATCCAACAGCTATTGATTCTTCAGTACAATTATCATTGCCCATCACCAATGCTGTTCTTGCTCCACCTACCAATACAACTTCCTCACGAGGTATTTCTAAACTTCATTATATATACTATATGCAGCTTATCTGATTCTCAAACAACTATATTCTCAAGATATACTCCCAATTAAGTTGTTCTGATCATATGGCCTTTGTGATATAGAGAGCTTGTAAATATGAATTCACACTTGAGGGATGTGAGCACATACGGATGAGTGTGCGCACAGAGTTATTTTCCCCATTTAATTCCACACACACTTTTTTAAATTTCCGGTTCAATTACATTTTTAGATGTAAAACACTAACAATATTCACTGTTAAATTTAGGGTAAACATATAGTTTTACTTCTGAACTATTTTTTGACACCTAATATTTTAAAATATTTGGTATAATAATTTTGCATCTAAATGAATTAAAATGTAACATAGTTACTTCTAATGTTAAATATCCCAATATTGATCATAAAGAAAATATGGTTGGAAAATCTGAAAATTGAACAATTAATTATGCTTTTTAAAGTGTTTCTCTCTCCCAATAAATGCAATAGAATAGTAAAGCACAACGGTGGAATTGATTTTTTTTTTAAATCTTGCTTTTTAAAGTGTTTCTCTTTCCCTATAAATTAAATGCAATAGAATAAAGCGCAACGGTAAAATTGGTTTAAAAAAAAAGGTACAAAACTTTCAAATGCTAAAGCATTTTTGTCCCGTTTTATCCATGTCATCACCATGAACTATCTTGTGCTCTTAACTAATAACACAAATGACGCGTTTGTTTGGTGTCATGTGTATTCAGGAGAAAGAAAGAGCACTAGATTATCACTAATTGTTGTCAAGATCATTGCCCCCATTGTCATTTCAGTGATCCTCTCTTGTTCGGTGGGTTGCTATTTGCTAAGGAGAAAGATAAAGAACAGAAGCCAGTCTATTCTTAAAGAAAACTGTAATCTATATTGTTTGTTCAGTTTTAAACTTAATTATGTTTATTTCTGACCATAGCATGCTTACATTGATATTCACATATACTGAACCAGTTGGAGAAGAGAGTTCAAACATGAAATCCTTGCAATTTAGCTTGGCAACAATTGAAGCCGCAACAAATAAGTTTTCTGAAGCAAACAAAATAGGAAAAGGAGGATTTGGAGAAGTTTTCAAGGTAACATGCTAAACTTAACTACCAAAACTAATTATATAACTGCCTGATAATTCGATTAAGTATTGTAGGGTGTTCTCACGGATGGACGAGAAATTGCTATCAAGAGGCTCTCAAAAAGTTCTGTGCAAGGAATATTAGAATTCAAAAATGAAATTTTGCTTATAGCCAAACTCCAACATAGAAATTTGGTGACGTTATTGGGATTTTGCTTGGAAGAACAAGAAAAAATTCTTATTTATGAATATGTTCCTAACAAGAGCATTGATTTCTTCTTATTCGGTACAAAACTTCTAACCTTATTTTTTTCATTTTATGGTTAAATATCTATGCACATCATTTATATGGATCTTTCCTACTAATTTGTTACTTCTATTTATTTTCATAATTATTTGACTATTAATTATATAAATTTTGAGAAACAAAGATTATTCAATTGGTTTGAGCGTTTCAACATCATTAAAGGAATTGCACAAGGACTTTCTTACCTACATGAACATTCTCGGCTTAAAGTTATTCATCGTGACCTCAAACCTAGCAATGTTTTGTTGGATGACAAGATGAATCCAAAAATATCAGATTTTGGTATGGCAAGAATGATTGCTATAGATGAAGACCATGGATGCACAAATAGAATTGTTGGTACATAGTAAGTCTTGATATCCCTCCTTCCTAACTTGCTATATAGGAGAAACAAAAGGAGATTCTCTGTATTTAGTATGTGAACATTGCTTCATATATCTCATTTATTACCATTATGAGTTTTCTTATATTTCCTCATTCATGCCTAAGTTGACCTTTTTGGATGTTTTTGATTTTATACTAAGTCTGACAGGGTTTTTTTCTTTTTGAAATTTTATAGTGGTTATATAGCTCCCGAATATTTAATATATGGACAATTTTCTGAAAAATCTGATGTATTTAGTTTTGGAGTTATAATTTTAGAAGTGCTAAGTGGAAAGAGGAATGCCACATCATATGATACATATCTATTAACTAATGTAAGTATATCAAATCATATTACTTGTGTTGTTCCTTTTATAATCATATTGTTGATCTTATCTGTTTGATGCAAACTAATATGGTAAGGTGAAAATCAAAGAGTATGAACTTGATAAATATCTAATTGTTTGGTAAACTATTTTAGGTGTGGAAGCTGTGGAATGAGGGAACACCATTGCAAGTATTGGACCCTTATGTGAGGGAATCTTCTTGTGAAATTGAAGCAATGAAGTGCATGCAGATTGGGTTATTATGTGTTCAGAAAAATCCAGAATATAGGACAACAATGACTCAAGTTGTTTCATATCTAAGTAATCTTTCGATTAAATTACCGTCTCCCAAAGAACCACCATTCTTAATTCATTCAAAGGCAGTGACTTTGCCAGAATTATCTGATTCGGATCAAACTTTTCGAAGCTCCAAGAGAGCCTCAAATGAAATATCTATCAGTGAGTTCTTGCCTCGATGAAATTATTCATCTTTTTTTTTGTTTTTTTAATAACATGTAAGCTCTGCGGATAGCAGACTGAGGGTAAAGAGTAAATCTCTCCTTAGTTGAGACATACACAAGTGTAAAGGGTAGATTCGTCTTTTGGACACTCGCACACGGTCATTCATGTAATTGATGGAAATGAAAACTACTCACTGCCACTTGTATGGCGCATGCGCAACCCCTTGAAGTTGGCTCATATTGATTAAAAGTTTTGGCCTTCGCCGACCAGCACAAAAAAGGGCCTATTTTTTTATTATGTAGCTCAGGTCTTGCATTTTTTTTTTTTTGGGTGGGGGGGAGGGGGGAATTTTGGTCTTGACTTTCATTTGGGATGAACATTGAATTGATCAAAGGAGAGTGATAGATAAATTCTTTTAAAATAGAGAAGTAATTTAATCCTACAAAATGCAATAATGATAATCAGGTCCCAATGAATATATTTGAGATTAAATTTCAGTGTGAAGTTTCTTTAACACCCCTTTACGATTTAAAAAGTTATAATTTTTTAAATCATTTTAGTTATTGATGAAGTTAAATTTGTAAATACTTATATCATACTTAAAAGCGATATAAAGTTAGTTGAACTTTATTAATAGAAAGTTATAATTTTTTAAATTATTTTAATTTCTGGTGGAACTAAATTTGTGAATGTCTATATTAAATTTGTGAATCATATAAAATTATGTAAACTTTATTGATTGAAGAAAATTGCTAATAGATGGCTTGTAGATTTATCTTTGTAACTATTTTTGTTTTCAAATTATTTTTGCATCTAAATATAAATTAAAAAATTATTTTGCTACAAATATCCTTCATCGCCAGTTCTATTATAAATTATTTTTCACATGTTCCATCAAAATGAGAAAAGTATTAAAAAATTCATTAACTTTCTTTTAAAAAGTGTTCAATAACTTTAAGCTTATTAAATATACATATTTTAATAACATATTTTCTTTCACCAATATTTAATTAAATTTAATTATTTGCACAATTATAAATGTTTTTATGATGTTTTAATAACTTATAAAGATCATATTTAAATTCTTCAAAAATTTCCAAGTAAGTACTCCCTAGTTTATACATACATTAATTTTAATTAAGGTGAAAGTATATTTTTAATCCTCTAATTTTATATAAAATTTTAATTTGATCCCTTAATTTTATAAAATATCTTTTTAGTTCCTTAACCCTAACACTGTTAGTTTCAAATGATTATTTTTTGTATATGTCAACATTTGAGAATGTTTTATCAATATTTAAAAGTTCAGTGTAAAAATTTGTTGGGATGAAACTAACGATATTAGAGTCAAAGGACTAAAAAGATATTTTATAAAGTTACAGGATTAAAATGAGACCTTGCAAAAATTATCTGATTAACCTCATGATTAATTTGAAGTTAGAATTAAAGGTAGATTAGTAAAGGTAATCTTACTTGTTTACTTAGAGATTTTACACCATTCGTGGACATTTACCATCATATGATGTGTGAAAATTATAGTAGTTGCATACTACTCATTCAATCCCTATCATAAGACACCTTCAATTATCTAACTAGAATTCAGGAGAGATAGTTAAGATATTAACTTTGTTTGAAAATAAAATGAAATTAATTTTATCCTTATTTAAATAATTTTTTTTGAATTTTTCATTATACTCTCTCTCACAATTAATGAGTTTAAATATAGATAATATTAGAAAAATATAATTAATATCACATAATATGTCTTCTATTAAGGATCAAAATTGTTTCGAGAATGTGCCTTATAATAAAGATAGAAAGAGGTAGATCATCAAAATTTCATAAACTCTAGATTTAAATTCTTATTAAGAGAAGTATTTACATTTAATATTTAACTATATTTTAAATAGTATTGCCTTTAATATATAGGAGAACAAATGTGAGCAATAAAAAATAGCTCATAAAACTTAATTGCAGTTGTTGTGTGACGTGACATGAGTGGTTTTCAAACTCAATTGAATGGATTCCAAGTATCTTCTTTTAATTTTTGGAAATGATTTTAAAAATTAAAATAAACATTATTTTAAGTTTGACAAGCGGTAATTGAGTGCCTGTTTGGGTAAGGTTTATAATTAATTTTAGAGACAAAAATCATGATTTCATGAAAATATATCTAAAATCATAATTTATGTTTGGATGTAATTTCATAAAAAACATGATTTTTTTTCCCTGTAAAATTGATTAAACTTGACATCCAAGCATACACCTGATAGCTTTCGCTGTTGGTTAAACCATAACCTTAACCATAGACTACCAATGCTGGAGGACCACCTATGGGTTTGCACGTTGGAAGTTATCGGAGAAAGTGTGATTTGCGTATGCATTCACCTTTGTACTTTCCTATATTACCCCAAAAAAAAAAAAATTTGGCCCTCTTTTTTTTAACCCTAAAAAAGCCTACTTGAGCAAGCTCACTAGAATCAAAACATGCCTCTAGCAAGGCTGTGTGAAGAATATTGAAGACCTAAAGTGAAATTATTATAGAGATTTAGTGTGTTATAATTTCTAAATTATACAATTTTTATTAAGATTAGGTTTTATATTTATTTTAATAGCAACTTGTCAAAAAAATTATTTCAACAATTTTTTTTAATTTCATAGCATATGCAAAATCATTTGTTCTTATAACTTTCCCAAGAATGAGTGCGGAGATTTCATTAATAGAAAAAATAATAATACTATAACATATATTCCCAATATATCATATTACAATTAAGATCATGATCTAATTAATTTATAATAGAAAAGACCAATAGGTTTTCTGTATAAATAATTTTTCTATAAGGCCAGCAATGGCCTTAGTAGCCTAAAGATTTACACAGCCATGGTCTCTAGTTTTAGAAAATGATTACAAAGATACTTATAGATAACTAACTAATAAAGTCTTCACATTTATAGAGAGATTTGAATTAACAATCTTGTGAATTGTGAGTCAAATTTTTATCAATTGAATTAATCTTTATTGTTGTCCCCTCTAGCTCTTATGCTACTAATCCAACTCCATCTATTTGTGAGCTATGGTTGACCCAAGTATCAGCCTTGGCCACCGACTCCCATTTGATAAAAGGGTCTCTCTCTCTCTCTCTCTCTCTCTCTCTATATATATATATATCTTCTTTGTTCTTTCACTTAATCTATTCATCAAATTTCTATTTCTTCCAAAAGGCGTTATATAAATATTGGCCCAATTATAAAATTATGTCTCGCTTGGGGGGGGGGGGGGGAAGCTCTCTCTTCTAGCTGCTACTCCAAAGTCAAAGGAAGAAGACAATTTACTTGCTAGAAGCACCAAAAAGATAAAAAATAATGCCGGTTAAGGAACAGATGATATTTTAGGTAGAAATTGGCCTAAACTAGGTGACAAGGCTGACCATAAATGCAAAACAAAATCTCTTTTGTTGAGAAACTAAAAGGATTGGTGAGGGATGAGGAATCAGAGGATAAGATTAAGGATGCTGATGCTGATGCTTCGGATGAGGGGGAGTCCTCGAAGGGACAAAGTTCAAAATCAAAGGAAGATGATGGAGACAAAGTTCAAAATCAACGGAAGATGATGGAGAACCAAATTTCAAGGTCATTGAAAATGAGAATAAGTATTTTTCAATGTTTGAGATTTCCAATAATGTGAAGAAGAGACTATATAAGGCATGGAACAAGGCTGTCATTGTTAAGTTACTAGGAAGAAATATTGGATTTAAAGCTTTAAAAGCAAGAATCCAAGCACAATAGGTGAAAAAAAAGGTCACCAGACTAATTAATATAGGGAATGGATTCTTTATGGTGAAACTATCTAACAAGGAAGACTATTTTAATGCCCTAACAGGAGGCCTTTGGATGATTTATGATCACTATCTTACTATAAGACCATGGGAGGCACGATTTAACTCTGCAACAGCATCTGTAGATAAGATAATAGTCTGGGTAAGGGTCTTAAGGGTGTTTCTGGAGTATTTTGATAACGAGACACTAACCTTCATTGGTGATAGAATAAGTAAAACCATAAAGGTTGATGTCAATACATCATGCCAACTGAGAGGTTTTTTACGAGAATTTATGTATTAGTTGATCTGGAAAAATAACTCATGTCAGGTTTCTCTTTGGAAGGAGTAGACTATTATCTAGAATATGAAGTTCTACACCTTCTTTGCAGTCACTGTGGTGTGTATGGCCATCGGGCAGATATTTGCCCATCTAAGGGAGATAAAACAGAGGTTTCTGTTCAGAATGAAGAGATTCCGATAAAGCCAAATGACGGTCAAACTAAACTAGCTGAAAAACAAGTACAAGAGGCATGGATGATGGTGCAGAAACCTCACCGACAGCGTAAAGGGAAGGAATGGCTAGAAAAGCAAGTGAGACAAAATTCAAGCTCTAGGTTCAACATTCTTGCAAACGATAAGGAGGTATAATGTATAGAGGAGACAGACAAAAGGGAGCATCACGTCCATTTTATGAGCCAGCCATTAAAACTAGCAGTAGAGCCACTTCAACATATTACAAGGATATGGAAGAAGAAAGGCAGTAACGTTACCCATATAGAAAAGGCAATGGAGGAAGTGGTAAGGCTCGATAATGCTTTAGTGCCATACGAGAAAATAGAAAGAGTGCAAAAGGAGGAAAAAAGGACAAAGGCTAAGAAAAGAGTGAGAGAGATATTTGAGAATCATGTGAGAAAGGATCAAGTACTCATGTTAACCCTGGGAGAGGATGACAAGGTTCTAAGTGAGGTAGTAAGGGTGCAAATGGAAGATTCAAATGAGGATATTTTAGAAATTTCTTTCATGAAAGATGATGATCCGGAAGACCCTGGAGAGCAATGGGCGGAGTGTTTGGATCCAGGAGAACCTATAGACAGGCTTGTGATGTTTAACCCAATCCAAATGGTAGCTATGGGGGGTCAACTCTCATGTGATTGTGTGGTTCTGGATACCCAATATTAATGGGTTTAGGCTATAAACTGGGCAAAATAATATTATTGGGCTGGTTTCAAATGAATAAGTTTATTTATTAGAATGCTAGGGGCACTTGTGGAAAGGGCCTCCTTAAAAACTTGAAGATTGTTTTAGATGAATCCAAGCCAAGCCTTGTTGTTTTGGCCAACACTAGGTGTGAAAATGACAATTGGCTGAATAAACTGAAGAAACTAGGCTTTAACTCATGAAATATAGTTTCAAGCGTTGGAAGGTCGGGGGGACTTGTGG